TTATAGGTTTATAGTTCTATATCTTTACACTTAAGTGTGTTGTACCATCCAGCCTTTCATGTATCATATAATTTCAGCCTAATAACAGGTTGCAATCCTCATTTGGAAACTGAGGCCCCAGATGTTAAACGACTGTTGAGACCCTTAATTTGAGGCAGTGTTATTGAAACCATATTTCTCTTCCTCTGCAACCCCACTTTTATCTGTTGTCTAGCAGTTTATGCTACAATTCTCTAAATAAATTTCCAACTAAAGGCGTAATCAAAATTGAGAGATATGAGAGACCTTAAAGAGGCCCTAAATCAGAAGTTTATATCAATAAAACAGAGATCCAGAAAGGGTCAATAATTCTCCCAGGTACATCCATTTCAGGACAGAAGCCTATGAATCTGACTCCTCGAACCATTCTTGTGCTGTGGCGGCATTCGTCAGCTGCGTTCTGTAGCACTACCAGGGGCTGTTTTCAATTATCCCCATTATTAGTTCCCTTTAACTCTATCATTAGGCCTAAGTTTCATGTTTTTAACTGTTTCTAGGTCAAAAATTAACCAACACAGCATTTTTACTTCAAAATATGTAATGCAATACTTCTCTAAATAGTTAGGCAGACAGTGACCACAGGGGAGAGGGGAGGGAATTTCAGGAGAAAAAGGGGAAGGATTTACAGGAACTAGTATAAAGGACACATGGACAACAACTAAGGGGGTGGAAATGGGAGGAAGGTGGGGAGCACTGGAGGGGTGGGCTGGGATGGGAGTAAAAGACAGAAAACTGTACTTGAACAATAATTAAAATTTTAAAATGCTTAAAAAATAAATAAATAGTTAACCATAGTTTTCAACTAAAGATCAAAATAACTATATACTCTTTCATTTGAAAAAATTTAAGTAATATGAGATGGCTGTTTTGAACTCAATTTTTCATTGATTGTATAAAAAATGAAATGTAATTATTTATCATTTTCCCATAGTTCCCTGGATCTCTCTTAGAATATCTGTCTTAGGAGAATGCTAATGATCAAATTAAACTCTCTAAATACAATGGTTAAAATAAGGAAAGCATACCCAGGCTCCAATGTCATATTTTATACATTTTTTCTAGCTCCTAATAATTTCCCCAATAGTACAGATTTGTGATAAAGCAAAAAAAAAAAAAATGCTCTCCAGAAATGTGTTCATAATGGCAGACAAATTGATGTGACATTTTTTGCTACAACTATTCTTTTCTTCATTCAAACTTAAGTTTAATCTAGATCTCTACTCCCTATATATATCCAAAGGCACAAATGTTTATGATTCAGATGTAAGAGGGTAAAGCTCATCTGAGAGTATATATAATTACACTTTTAAGAACACCTTGAGAGTCTGGTGACAGATATGAAGTACATACTTAGAGTATAATGAGAACCAGTTTGTCATTTACTGATTATATATACTAAATCAACAATTATCAGACAGCTATTTGGTTTTTAACACCACATCTTCTTCAGTACATATGACATCTATTGACTTCTTTGATTCAAAGGATGGCCTGTGTGTAGTAGTTAAACTTCTTTTCCAAAAAAAAAATTCACTTTTTTTGAGATATCATATATTTCCCCAAGATTTATGCAGGCATACCATTGCCATTTGGCATTTGCATAAGTTGTGTTAATTAGATGGTTTATTTCAATTCCATTGTATAATTGTCTTGAAGCACCATTTATATTTGTTTTAAAAAAAGGGCCCCAGAAAGCCAAACCTAGACAAGGATATTCTGAATTGCAACAGCACAATTTAATACAGAACTATCACATTTAAAACAATTACATGTCTAGTTTCATGTTTACTTATTTTCAGCATAATTTATATATGTTGACAGACAAAAATATATGTTTAGAATCATTATATGTATCTGGTTCAATAGCAAACTTACAATAAGTGACACATTATATCAGAGTACATTTTCTTGACAGCTGAAAAGTCTTCATTTAAGATACAATACTAATTCATTATTTTAAAATAAAAATCTAATAGCCATTATATTAGATTCACTTATTTAAGCTCACATTCGATGGTTGCATAAAATGCATTACTTACAAGTATAGCAAAGAAGTTTGATTTTGACACTGAATGTTTGAAAGCATGTTGTTGACTCTACAGATTACTACATGTTTGATGTTTTAAAAAATGTGAATATATACTAAAATTATCCAATAAACACACTGTAATTATTGCAAAAGTATGAAAATACAGTGTTTTATTCTACTGCTCTATTGCATACATATTGCCTTGAAAGGTTAATGTAGCCAGTGTCTTTTTCTGTTGCTTTAGTATCATTGAGAATGCATTTTTAAAAATTAGGTCCATTAAATAGAGATGGAAGGATACAAAGCTGTTTGCATGATGTCAAAACGCTGCAAGTGTGAGCATAAATCCTCATCTTCTACATTTCACAACTCATTTCCTTCCTCGGAAACTGGATAAATATGTGTGTGAAGGTATCTAAATAAAGACCCTGCAATCATTGTTTCATTCTTTTTTATCTTCAACTATTATTGTCCTTTTAAAATTGTCTGGCTAATATTTAGCTTATTAGTGGATTTTCTACTAACCGAGTTTTTATGAAAAGATTTTTATTTATTTATTTTTAGAGACAGGGGAAGGAAGGGAGAAAGAGAGAGAAACAGCAATGTGTGGTTGGGAACTGCCTTGCAACACAGGCATGTGCTCCGACTGGGAATCAAACCAGTGACCCTTTGGTTCACAGGCCAATCCACTGAGCCACATCAGCCAGGGTCCAGTTTTTAAAAAAATATATATCTAGTTTGAGAATAGGTAAAAATAATGGGTTTAATAAAATAGAACATTATTTGTTAACCAAAATAAGTTATCTAGTCTTTAATATTTTAGATAAGGTAAACTATTTCCCTCTGTCTTTGTTATTACAAAATGAATGTGATGAACAAAATTTCCACTACTGATATTTATTCTTTTTCATTGGATTTAATATGGTTATTTGCTTGAACAATTGTTTCCTAACAAAACTGTAAAATACAATGTCTGTAAAGAAAGTAAACTCCTCTGCTGTACTCTGTTACACTTTTTCTGTGAATGCACAAGCCTAAATAGGTTTAAACAAAAAGTTATGATAATGGAACGGATAAAACTATGATTAAGGTAAGTGTGCTAGAAACCATGGCACATCTGAAGTATCATGTTTGCCAGAAACTGTAGTCTCCATCAATTAATCACTTTTACAGGTCAAATGATTTCATGTCTGTAGTTTTTCTTTAAAGTGTTTCCTGCCCCTGGCTCTTCTCTCAATCCATGTCTGATAATCTTGGGACATCCACCCTTACTGATTCCAAAAATGTCCTCCTTCCAAGTGCTCCAGAGGTCACTGGGCATAAAGTAGAATTCTGACCAAATAGATGAGTAAAAATAATTTTCTTTTCACTTAGGTGTAGACGATGTTCTATAACAATTCTGAGTGCAATGTCATATTCATCCTCAAGTTTTTTTAAAAAGATTTATTTATATATGTATTTTTAGAGAGAAGGTAAGGGAGGGAGAATGAGAGGGAGAGAAACGTCAATGTGTGGTTGCCTCTCATGTGTCCCCTACCTGGGACCTGGCCCGCAACCCAGGCATGTGCCCTGACTGGGAATTGAACTGGTAACTCTTTGGTTTGCAGGCTGGTGTTCAGTCTACTGAACCATACCAGCCAGGGCTTACCCTCATGTTTTCATAAAACATTAGAAATATGGCATGTTACAACATGTAAAATTATTTAATTTTATATCTTGAAATTTACTCTGAAAATTTAATTCATGCTTAATAAAAAATATATTATTTTATGTTTTGGGGCAGTATTATTAAAAAAAGAAAATCTAACTTCTCAATCACAACTTTTATACATAATTTTAAACACTGTAATTACTTTACTTTTTATATGAATCACACATGCACAAAAATTCTTTTAGAAAAATTGCTTTTGTTTGAATAATTCAGGTTGCCTTTCTTCATTAGATCAAATGCTCAGATGATTTTTTAGTTTGTCAGTTTATTCTGCTTTTTTACACACAGCTCCAGTTATTTCTATTTTGTGACTGGTAGGAAAGCATTTAAAATACAAAAATGAATATAAGCCATTACATATCTATATGTATACTCACATATATTTTAACTCTAGAAAAGGAGCAAAATAGTATTTAATGACTCATCTTATGAAAGTTATGTAGACACCAAATGTTAAAATTGATAGCTTCCTCCTTCTAGAACTTATTTTTACTTTATGCTTTCTTCTGCATTTAAAAATTCATTGTAATAATTACTTTTTATAATGGTGATTATTCCAGTGCCTAAGGATGGCTTACATGAAAAAGCGCCAAAGAACAGCTTTTTAAAATATATTTTTATTGGCCTTATTGGGGTGACATTGGTTAATAAAGTTATATAGTTTTCAAATGTAGAATTTCATTACACATCATTTATATTGGATTGTGTGTTCACCACTGAAAGTCTAGTCCCTTCTGTCACAATTTATTCCTTCTTTACACGTTTATCTAATTCTACTCTCATTTCCCTCTTGTAATTATCATACTGATGTCTGTATCTGTGAACTTCTTTGTTGGTCTGTTTGTTTGTTTTTTGCTTGATCCTTTCACCTCTTCCGCCTAGCCCCCAACCACACCCTCACCACAGCTGTCACTCTCTAAACAGTAAATCACCCTCTTTAATAAGGGTGAAGCGATTAAAGTACAAATTGGCAGTTACAGAAAGTGAGGGGGGTGTAAAGCACAATGTTACAATATTGTATAAAGTCAATATTATTGTAGTAACTATGTATGGTGCCAAGTGGGTACTTGAAATATTGTGGGGCTCACTTGTAAAAGTAAATGATTATCTAAATGGTATGCTATACACATGAAAATAATATGAAATAATATTGAACATAAACTAATTAAAATAAATGTTAAATTAAGTATAAATAAATAAATAAATACATGCAGTGTATCTCTCATTAACCTTAACTGCTGCTATGGCACTATCTCATCTTACATATGGCTCAATTTCACTTCCAATAGTAATTTAAATAGTAAGCAAAGACATTACTTCTTTAATCATGAATCAGAATTTTATAAACTTCAGATGAAAGTAAAAATGCACTGTTTTTCCTATTTCATCTTAATGACCTTGTTTACATATTACTTTAAGGTTGCCTAATAATCATGTCTTTCATGCTCCAGGTACTCTTCTCAATGCTTGTGGTAGTTGCAGACTCACTCAAAGAAGCCCAGTGCTCCTCTACAAAGATAGAGTGTATTTTCCTATCACCTTGCACATAAAGAATTCACTATATAACATTTTTGTGTGTTTGCTTTGTCTAGGCTTAGAATTATACATGCCACTACTAAAAGAAAAAAATGCATATTCAATATGTGTTATAGTTAAGAATACAAATTAAGTGGTATATTATCAAATCAAGAAAATCAGCTGGTTAATTCCTTGCACCACTCATTAGAGTAACGTTGAGTTATTCTCATAGCTTTAGGGTGGTAATTAAACTGCATTCACCAGTGCACTAGCAAACAAGGTCTGGATCAAGATGACATAATTTCCTTGGCTCCTTCATATCTACTTCCTTTTTCACAATAAAGATACTCTGTTTGGCCTTCTGTTCTTTGGGTGGGGCTTTACTGATTTTTGAATACTTTGTAAAGCTGTCTAGTGTAAAACCAAATGAGGATTAGAATAGCAATGAGAAAGAGAGCTGTTTCTCTTCTAAGTAATCCTTCTAGCTTGGCTTGTATTTGTACAGTTGCACTTTTTATATGAATTTTTGTCCTGAATGTTATTTTTAAATATATTTTTATATGCTACACACCATCGTTCCAGCACTAGCCTGCTCTAGAGCTGTTTGAGAAAGCAATATTTTATTTGGATGGGTTATTATACATTATCTTCAGTCCCAGACCCTTCTGGGCTGGAGTCCATGTCAAGGAAGGCCTCTTTATTGGTAAAAGTTGAGCTGAGAGTTATGCTCTGTCGGGGCTTCACAGGTGCAAGTTCATTTAATTTAATATTTTCATTTTTGACCAGAATTGTCTTATCCATGTTTTCTTCACTGTGCCTTGAGACAACAGCATCAAATACATCTAATTTTGGTGGCAAGTTTCCACTTTCAAACAGGTATTTGGCTAGATAAGAAATGCCGATATTGGATAAGAATGAGGTAACCATGGCAAGAGTTTTAAATGGGAACCTCTGATTGTATATGCCATTCTTATCAGAGTAATAACCAGGGTAAAAGATCAAGGGTTGCAGGTACAGATATGGCTCCCCACCAGTTATTCTCAGGAAAAGTCCCGAAACATAACCTGCCACAGCTCCATATGTATTGGTCCCCTTTACAAACAGCACACAAAGCAGTTGCGGAAAAATGATGATGTAAACGAGGTCCGAGCTGAGGTACCAGAGCCCGTACACTGTCTTTGTTAGCAATGCCATAGCCGTTGCAGATGCTCCAAACACAAACACTGTGATTCGCATAACCCAAACGATTTCCTTGTCTGATGCCTGCAAGAAATTGCCACAGTGTCAGCTTTTCACACAATGTGTTCACTCATGCAGGTGAAGAATGAGATGCATTTCTGTGCTTTAAAGCTGGTCAGAAGAATTCCCTGGTTTCAAATGGCTTCATCTATGGGCAAAACCAACCTAAATGACAGCATATGAAGCAAGCAATCTAGGCGGCCTCCCTGGTGGGCCTTTTGGAAAGGTTTCTGAGTACCTTATGTAGGAAACACAGGCCACCTGCACCTTTCCCTGACTGTGCAGAGGGGAGATGAGCTTTGTTGACATAGGGTAATAATGCAAGGGGCAATTTTACTTACTTTTAATTTAAAGAAATGGTTTTTATGTGGCAGAGGAAGCAAACCATGCCATATCTCTCCATAGGAGCCCTACCAAATTTAAGGCTAACCACCTTAAAAAAACAAGTGGGACCATTTTGTTAACTCTGACCTAGAAAATCTAGAGAAAGAGAAAGCCTTAGTCAAAGGAAGAAGGCAGAACCCGGGGGTGTTGGGCCTTCAGTAGCCCACAACAGCATGCTATTCTGTACCTACTTAACACAGTAGGAAAATTAAGTTGGGAGGCTATTTTCAGACAAAGGTGGACTTGAGACTCAAGTGAAGAGCAGTACAGATGTTAACACAAATACCCATGAAATAACTCACTCTGCTTCCACTAGGGATCTCAAGTTTCTTATTATATTTAATTAAAATCAAAGTTTTTCTAAGATATTTTAGGTTTCACTACTCTTTCATTAGAAAGATGAGAGTTTAAATTATAGGAATATAATTGTACCTCTTAGTAGTTATTTTGCTCTTTTGTCTTCTGTATTAACACAAATGATAACATGCATTAAAATATTCATACATAGTATAAGTAAAATTCATTATTTAACCCTGTGTGCTTACTCAAAGTATGGTCAAATTTAATATAGAACATTAATAAGTATATAATACTACATATACAATAAATACACTGACAAAGACAACAACAATAAATAACATATTTTAAAGACTTCTTACATTTTGTCTGAATGAAAGCTGGTAGATGTTGCGAGCAAACATCGAACTTGCTGACAAGATAGAAGAATCTGCTGATGACATGACAGCAGCAGAAACTGCACCAAGACCAAAGAAAGAAATGTATACAGGACAGAGATACTGCAGAACAATTGGTAAAATCATGTCTGCTTCTTCATTACTTTTGGGATCTGGAATCCCATATGCTGTCTGGTTCCAGTCTGTTGAATAGAAACAAAAAACATTAACAACCACTAAAGAATCATACATTCTTTATCAGTCTGGGGTCATCCTATTTACTAGGGAGTTTTTTAAAGAAATTCAGAATGTATGAATTAACCTTATTAGGTGGGAAGTCTAATTATTCTAACTAGGTATGTTAGCTTAATTAGGTGGGAAGTCCATGTACTGGTCAAATGAAATTATCTTATAGGTCCTGGCCTCTAATGGGTTTTGGTTACTCTTGATTTTATTAAGAGTAAGCAAAGAATAAGGTGGTGATCTGTTTATCTGCCTATCTATAATCTAGCAACATATATCTTCTGCAAAGGTGGCATTCCACTGTACAGAATCATAGAAAAATATTACACTGAACCATAGATTATTTCTTCAACCATTTGAAGATATAAGCAGCAACTCAATGTTTCATTTCTGATTCATCAGTTATATACTCACAAATGGATGAGGACAGTACTGGGTCTATTCTTACTCATACCCTTCCTGGATAAAAAGTTGGTTTTGGAGCTTCATTAGCATTACTTCTTCCCAATTAAATTCCTTCTTGCATCAGCTTTCACTTACTAGAAATAGGAACTATGATAAGAAAGTCTCTTTTTATTGAGTAAAATGTGCTGGAATGAAGCTGACATTTTCAGAATATATTTGGATTCAGTGGTACACAGACTTTAAATATAGGTTTATGTTTGGATAGCTCCTTTAATATTTAGTTATACAGTCATCCCTTGCTATATCACAGTTCACTTATTGTAACTTCAGTGTATCACAGGTTTTTTAAAAAATATATATCTAATTTGGTATCACGGAGTTTTCGCTATATCGCAGGATTTTGTGGTATATAGATATCTATATATTTATGATTTTAATTATTTTTGCCAAAAAATTTAAAACAATATAAAAATGTTAATTCAAACATAGTAAAAGAATATTAAATTGAAATAAAATACAGTATGTATTTCATTAGCCGATGAATACTATACAGTACACAAGGGAAACGCAGTAGGCCACTACCACTTGCACAAGTTTGCTAATGCAAGATTGTACAGGGCACACTATTGACTGATGGAGTGGAAGGTGACCAACCACAGCGCTGTGTTCTGTATCCTGGGCACTGATTGGCTCAGTGACCCGTAGCATCTGTCTGCTCTCCGGCACAGTGCCCAAACATTCAGCATCTCTCCTTGTCCACTCCGCATTGAAGTCTGATCACTGTGCATAGTGTTGCTCTGCAGTGTTGTGTTTTTGTGAAATTTTTGTAAAAGTTTGAATTTATTTCAAGCCCTACAATGCCACCCAAACGTTCTGCACCTTCTAAGGCTTCTGGCAGTGAATCCAAGTGCCAGAGGAATATGCGTACCATCAAAGAAAAGGTGGAACTTCTCAACATGTTAAAGGAAGGCAAAAGCTACACTGCTGTAGGCTGCCATTATGGGATCAACAAATCTGTTCACTACATAAAGAAAGACATGAAGAATATTAGGTCTACGGTAACAATGACTTTTAACAAGACTACAAGGAGGGTGGTCACTTCCAGTAATAAGGCCATTATGAGGATGGATTCTGCATTGGCCTTGTGAATAAATACTGCAGGAAGAAGAATATCTGGCTGAATACCAACACCATCCAGAAGGCCAAGAAACTTTATGATAGTTTTGCAGAAAGCATGGACGTTCACGACGGTAGTGAGGTTGAAGAAGAAGACAACGAGGCAGAAGCAGGACTGTCGAGTGCTTCTCCCAGGAGACCAACCCTATTCAGTTCCAGCAAGCACTGGTTTGACAAATGTCAGAGATGCTTTGGACTCAAGAGTGTTTCTCTGCATGGAGAACCTGCCTCTGTGGATAAAAAGCAGCACCAGCAACTCCCCATAACTATGTTCTTCACTCAGATGAAGAGATCAGTTACGCCTACACTTTTAGTGGAAATAGAAGTAATGGCCCAGGGCGAAGATAATGCACCACCTGATGAAGTATCTGATGAAGTGGTGCCTTCAGAAGAGCTGAAATGCTCTTCTTGGCTGTGCAGTACATTCATCTCATTGTCATCACTTTCATTGCCATCAGTACTGCGCAGCTATATAATTCATGATCTTCATCATTCAAGTTGTAGTATACTTCACTGGTAAGTACCCATATAGAATTTTATATGTTGTTAAAATTAGGTAGGTTTAAGAGTATAGAAAGTGGTTAAGAGCATATGAAGTGTTTATAAGAGTGCGGGAAAGGTTAATAAGAGAGTAAGAAAAGTTTATAGGAGTGTGGGAAGGGTTTATAAAGCCTTAAAATAGATATAAATAATAAAATAAATATAATGCCACTACTTTGCTCATTTTCACCTATCGAGGGGGTCTCTGGAATGTAACTCCCGCGATAGGTGAGGGATCACTGTATAGTAGTCCTCCATCTGTGTTTTTGCACTCGTGGTTTTTGCTTTTTAGTTATTGTGGTCAACCATAGTCTGAAAATAGAAAATACCCAAAATAGACAATTTGTAAGTTTTAAATTGCACCATGTTTTGAGTAGTGTGATGCAGCCTTGCATTCTTTCCGCATCTGGCCAGCAATGTATCTATCTAAGCTGTATATGCTCCTCACCATTAGTCACTGAGTAGCTGTCATGGTACCACAGTGCTTGTGTTTAAGTAACCTGTATGCAATGTCACAATACCTACACCATTTATCTCACTTCATCTCATTATTGTACACATTGTATCACCACCCATCATCACCAAAAAAAGGATGAATACTGTAAAATAAGATATTGTAAGAGAGATAAAGACCACATTTACATAACTTCTATACAGTATATTGTTGTAATTGTTCCATTTTATTATAAATTATTATTGTTAATATATCACTGTGCCTAATTTGTAAGTTAAACATTATCATAGGTATGTAAGAATAGAATAAAACGTAGTATATACAGCAGATCTTCAAATAATGTCATTTTATAAAATTGTTGATAAGATATCACAGCAACCTAACTCTTTCTTGTTATCAATTAGCCTGTGGTAAAACTGACTTCATTATATGTTGATTTGCTTAAAATTGCAGAACCTATCAGTGGCATTAAGTGAGGACCTACTATTAGTTTTGGTACTATCTGCAATTTCAGGCATGTGTTAGAGGTCTTGGACAGTATTGCCTATGGATGAGGAGGTGACTTGTACTAGTATGTGCTAAAAAATACAACAGATTTTTTGTGTGTATGTTAGTATAGCTCCTTTCTTTATTCATTGAACTTTTGTAATGTCATAAGTAAAGAACCAAGCAGGAGTCTTTTCCCTTGGATTTTACCTTTTTTTCTCCCCCCCATTTTCCATTATAATTGTTCAAACCATAATTTGATAAAGCCAATTTTATAGCATTAACTGAGATGCTATGATACCAGAAATAACAACCATCAAAATGTGTACTTAATCCAAGAAAAAAATGTTTTACACATTTTTCAGTCTATTGTCCTACAACACACACATACGCAGACTAATGGCCAGATCTATCTTCTGGTCATGACATACATGCTATCTTTTATTCAAAGCCACATAATCCCCTTTGTCAGACATCTTTTTAAGTGTTTATTTATTAATTATGAGTAACTGGAATAGAGAGTATACAATATGAATCATAACTGCTCTTTTCAAAATTAAATAATGCAATAAATAGCTCTACTAATTGAAAATCAAAGTAGGCATTGAGTTTCATCCTGGATAATCTTTACAAAACACAACAGAGTGAAAGGTCTCCTTCTTAACTGTGTTTTAATTAGTTAAACCTAGAGGGCTTCTTTAAATTTGGGCTGATATGACATATTTGCATGAAATGCCCAAAAGCTGTATAACACGGGAACATAAGTTTCAGGAATAATCAATTAACTCAATCAAGGGTGAAAATTAAAATAATGTTCTAGATAGAAGGTAATGGTAAGGAAAGCATTTTTAATGTTCTTTCTACTAATTTTGAATAAATTATTCTCTACATGACTTAGTGCCTTAATTTATCTTTACATATACACTTATTGATCAATTTCTCCAAAAAGGAAAACTTAACAAACCATTCAAAAGGTAAAGCAGGAATCTCAGGTTTAAAGTGGTCACAATGGCAGGTAAACTTTTTTTAGCCAGTAACCCTGGACTCTGGCTGCACTTTGACTTATCAAGGGGATTTTTAAAAAGCACTGGTCACTGGCTCTATCTTAGATCATTAAAATAAAATCCTTATGGGCTAAGAGAGAAATAGCTATTTTTAAGCAGTCTTTCTTCTCCTGGGTAATGTCAGTGTGCTCCTTGGTTGAGAACCACCACTCACAGGATTACAAATACACTGTTGATAAATATAACAACACTGGGAGAGGGGCTGCTTATAAATATTTTATTGGTGGGGTGAGCAATGGAAAAATTTTTGGAGAGCACGAATGTAAGATACAATTTGAACCCTATAGCAAAGGTATATATATGAGGGGGGACCCAAATATTACGGAATTATCTTCTGGAGGGTGGGCTCCTTATAGTACAGGCTTACCCTGCTATAGGAATGTTCTAGGAACCCATCTCTAGCAGTGTACCATCTGGCGTTGCTGTGAGAGGCTGCATTCAGCTTCAGTGAATTGTTTTTGAAGACTCCTTCAACACATCTGCCCATTTTATGATGGGAGATTTATGAGTGCACCTGCCCACACCGTGCTGAGTCCAGCACTTTCTGACTGAAAATGGCATGACCTCCATGCCACACCCTCCCTATTTACCCTGTCTCACTCTGAGTGACTTTTTTTGGTTTCTCTGAAACCAAAAGGTGTGAGGAAGGACACTACCTACTAAATAGGAAGACTTGCAGAAATGATATTTTAAAAAGTCCTTAAGCACTGAGAGGGTATACTAGATGGAAAAAAGTCCTCAAAGGGAAATGTTTTGCTCATGTGCAAGCAGTGAAATGAACAATGGCAGATGCACTAAAAGGCATCAAAATTAACAAGTTCAGAAACTGTTTTGAGCAGTGAAACAAAATCTTGGTAGGTATATAGCATGAAATGGAGAGTGCTTTGAAGGTGACTAAAGTTTAAATATGTGAGAATAAATAAGTGATTTTAATAAATAAATTCTAGGGTTTTTTGAGGGTGAGTGGGAGAGCGAAAGCATTTGTGGTAATTGTTAACTTTGATGAAGCTTGAGTGGGTTGATTAGTGAAGCTGCAATAGAGTAGTTACCTGTTGATGCTCCAATGGCCCCAATGAGTATGGCTGGTAGAGCCATCACCAGGCATCCAAAAGCTGCCAGGAAGGACAGCACCTGAGCATAGGTGGCTGAGGATGAGGAGAGAACCCTCTGAAAGTAGGCTTGCCATGGGATTCCACCAAGCATCTGCATGAAAACCACAGGGACCCAGAATGAATTGGAGGCAAGTAGCATGTATTATATATTTTTAACATGAGATTTTTTTATAATCACCTTCAGAATAGTCATATGTACATCTCTGAAGTGTAGAAAATGGCCCTACATGCCACACATCTCAATTGTTTTCATTATGTTATTGTCATATTTATTAGGCAGACTTTCCTCACGTTGTTTTCCTTCATAATTACATGAGATCTTTTCCTAAATTTACCTACTCGAAGCTGCATTACAATTACCATGAAACCTATTTTTCATTATCTAGATATCCATCTTAATCATCACAAAATTATCTCAAAAAATAAGATTCTGAAAATATGGAGTTTTTAAAATCTGAATACATATAACCCAATGAATATTTCTGGACATAATGTGTGTCAGGGAAGGTAATGGTTGTCAGAGCAGAAAGATGAATAAGGACTGGTTCTTGCTTAGGCTTTACTGTTCCCTGGGAGAGTCAGTGCATCACAGTGTTTTCCAAAGTGGCATGTGCAGAGTACTCAAGACAACACAGTAGGGCATCAACAATAATATCAGGATTCCTATTGATAGTCATTTTACTTCATACTTGAATGTTATATCATTGTTTTATTAAGGTATTTACAGAGTATATTAGTAAGGTGCATATATTTATATATATAAGTAATTTATAATGACATGTACTTATATTGAGAGTGTACTTAAAATTCATATTGAGGACATACTGTCGAATAAGTTTGGAGATGTTAAACTATTGCATAATATATTGCACACTATATAAAGATACTTATGGTAACGAAAGTGAGAAGCAATGAATCACATGGGGGTAACAGAGGGGTGGAATGGTGTGAGGAAGGACACTACCTACTAAACAGGAAGACTTACAGAAATGATATTTTAAAAAGTCCTTAAGCACTGAGAGGGTATACTAGATGGAAATGAAAAGAGAAGACAGTATCTGGCAGAGAATTCAATAGGAAGATAAAGAAAAAGAACAGCAAAGCAGTTATGAGAACACTATGTATTTTGTATAAGTAGAAGTCAAGATATATGGGAATGGTAAGAGAGAAGGCTGGGAAAATACCTTCCCCTTCATGACTGCCACATTCCTCTGACTGGCATACAGTTAGTGTTCAATAAATATATATTATATGAATGAGTGAACTGATGAAGGAGCTTCCCACATCACAATGTATTGAAGTTGATTCTTTAATTGCCAGTCACTAGGCTCTAAATCCTGGGATGTCTATCTTGTTTATCATTGTCACATCTATGCCATTCAGAATGCCTGTCACATATTGATTCCAGAACAAATTTCTTCTTAAAAAAGCCACACATGGCTGTCTGGCCAAGATGGGGGTGTTGGTGCATACACTTTGCCTCCTTGCACAACCAAATGAACAACAAATTTAGAAACAAAAAACAACCAGAACTGCCAGAAAATTGAACTGTATGGAAGTCCAACAACCAAAGAGTTAAAGAAGAAATATTTATTCAGATTGGTAGAAGGGGTGGAGATGTGTAGTGTGGCAAGGCAGCTGCTGGAGGACTGGGTGGGCAAGGCAGTGGCTGGCAAACCAGATAAATCAACTGGGAGGAACAACTGGGGAGCAAGGCAGACTATGCAACCCAAAGTTCCAGCACGGGGAAATAAAGCCTCAAAACCTCTGGCTGTAAAAAGCTGTGAGAATTGAGGTGACAGGAGAAATTCCCAGCCTCACAGGAGAAACCCACCAGGTCTGAGAACATACACAAAAACCACCCACCTGGAATTCAGCACCAGAAGGGCCAAATTTGCTTGTAGGAAGAAGAGGAAGTGACTGAAAGCCAGCCAAGAGCTGAGCAAGTGGCACTGTTTGCTTTTGGACCCCATTCCCACATATAGCACCACAATGAAGGCTACCTAGGCTGCTCCACCCTGGTGAATACCTTAGGCTCCATCCCTTAGAATGTAACAGGCCCACAGAGACAAAAAAAAATATGGCCCAAATGGAGGAACAGAAAAAATACAACTAAGTGATGATGAGATAGCCAACCTATCAGATGCAGAATTCAAAACACTGGTAATCAGAATGTTTACAGAAATGGTTGAGTATGGTCACAAAATAGAGGAAGAAGGGAAGGCTATGAAAAGTGAAATAAAGGAACCAATAGTGACTGTAAAGAAACCGGGATGCAAATCAACAATTTGGAGCAAAAGGAAGAAATAAATATTCAACCAGAACAGGTGAAGAAACAAGAATTCAAAAAAACTAGGAGAGGCTTAGGAACCTCTGGGACTATGTTAAACACTCCAACATCTGAATTATAGGGGTGCCAGAAGGAGAAGAAGAAGAGTAAGAAATTGAAAACTCATTTGAAAAAATAATGAAGGATAAATTTACTAATCTGTCAAAGGAAATAGACTTCCAGGAAGTCCAGGAAGGTCAGAGAATCCCAAAGAAGTTGGACCCAAGGAAGCACACACTAAGGCACATCATCATTACACTACCCAAGATTAAAGATAAGGAGAAAAAATTAAAAGCAGCAAGAGAATAGGAGACAGTTATCTACAAAGGAGTTCCCATAAGACTGTCAGCTGATTTCTCAACAGAGACCTTGTAGGCAATAAGGGTCTGGAAAGAAGTATTCTAAGTCATGAAAGGCAAGGATCTACATCCAAGATTACTCTATCCAGCAAAGCTATCATTTTAAATGGAAGGGCAGATAAAGTGCTTTCCAGGTAAGGTCAAGTTGAAGGAGTTCATCACCACCAAGCCCTTATTATATGAAATGTTAAAGGAACTTATATAAAAAAGAAAGATGATCAAAAATATGAACAGTAAAATGACAATAAATGGACAACTGTCAACAACCAAACCTAAAAAAAGCAAAAAAAAAAAAAAAAAAAAAAAAACAAACAAACTAAGCTAACAACTAAAACAGAGACAGAAATGGAGGGTTCTCAGTGGGGAGGAGGATCAGGAAGAATGGGGAAAAAGAAGTATAAATGAAATGGTAGGTACAAAGTACATGGGGGGAGAATAGTACAGGAAATGAAGAAACCAAAGAACTTATGTGTATCATCCATGAATATGAACTGAGCAGGTACATAATGCAGGTGGTGGAGGGGGGCAGTGGTTGCAGGATGGAGGGGAATAAAGGGGAGAATAAATGGGACAACTGTAATAGCATAATCAATAAAATATATTTTAAAAGCCATAGATGTTCACAAGTAAAAAAAATTTAAAAGATTCTAAAATTTATTATCTCATGCCTCAAGTCTATATTTCTTCCAAACTTATCCTTTTGTCTTTCAATTGGCAAATCAATATATCATTAACCTGTTCTATGTAAATCATAATTGCTAAATAATATCAATGACTACAGGGTATAGCAGAAGTATGGCTTGCTTCAGTGTGGTTGGTAGAGTAATAATATGGGTGTAATAATTTGTAGGTTTAATTTGAACATTTCACCTAAAATACCATACGGTATACTAAAGTGTCATATTGTTAGGTTACAGAATTGTATGCTTATGATTTTGTAAGAAAAAGGGGCATCATTTGTGCCAGATCCTGTATATGAATTAATATATAATAATTTACATACCAATATCTCTGGACATTTAGGTCACAACTAGGGTAAACTCTGACTTCCACTGACAAACAGAAGCTCTGTTTGACAAGATGGAAAATGGGCTTGGAGGTGAGAGAGGTATGTGTGCTGACTTCAGGGAAACCACTGATGGGCTATCACAATAGGCCAGGTGAAGAAAGCTGTCGGCCTAATTCAGTGCTAATACAGGGACAGTGGGCAGGTTCAGGATGAGATTGAATGATACCTTGAAGGCATCATGAGCAGGGATACCCTGAAGTCACCTTGAAGGCATCAAATGACTTAAGTCATTTATATGACAATTTGGAGATCAGAAAGGCAACTGGAAGATCAGAGACCACTGGTGAAATATTTCAAGGTTTACTTCTATAGTTATTTATTCACTGATTCAACATCTATTTCAACTTATTCTACATTTTACAAAATCAACATGACTTAGTCACATAAGTCCATGAGATGGAACAACTTTAGCCATCATTGGATATTATACTTTATCTTGAAAATTAGTAAATCTGAGGACTAAACATGTGGTGTAGAAGAAATTACTTTGGGATTTTGATTCTTTCCTATTTCAGTCTCTTGCTCAGATAATTGTGTGATTATTAACAAATTACCTAACTTATTCTAAGTGCATCATCTTCTCCATATAACCATAAATATCTCTGCCATGCAGGTACAATCACACACACACATAATGTTTGATCCCTTTTTCCATTACATTCAAAATTGCAGAGTTCAAGAAATAATTTCAGCTGATACATTTCTTAACAATCCTTGGGAAAGTAAACCCCTTGACACCAGAGGACATACTTTTTTTGCAGTTTTCCTGTGTTCTTAACCAGGAAATTCTTTAGTGATAAAAACACCTAACTTCAGTGCTAAAACTTAGCAGAGTGCCACAAACACAAAGTACAATAATCACAACCTATTGTGAACCCTCTAAAGAGGAAAAATAAACAATTTTCCCTTCATTCTGATATAAAAATTAAGTGTTTACTCACACAGTGGGCAGTGACCAGAGGGGAGAGGGAAGGGAATTTAAGGGGAAAAAAGGGGAGGGATTTTGAAGAATAAGTATGAAAGACACAGGGATGAGGACTGGGGGGGAGGAAATGGGAGGGAGGTGGGGAGCACGGGGCAGAGGGGCCTGGGATGGGAGAAATAGACAAAAAAAACTGTACTTGAAAAATAACTAAATAAAATTTAAAAAAGAGAAATATTAGTTTTCCCATAACAAAATTAAGTGTTTAATTAATTTATTTATTTATTCATTTATTTTTAGCTTCACTTGAGGACAAAAAAATCCTATTGTTTTTACAAAGGGAGAGACAAAGGAAGAGTGAGAGAGAAACATCAAAGAGAGAGAGAAGAATAGATTGATTGCCTCTCATATGTTCCTGGACCAGATATTCTATGTGACTGTTAGGGGGACTGAACCCATAACCTAGGCACCTGCCTCCACCAGAAATCAAACTTGCAGCCTTTCAGTTACAGGAAGAAGCTACTGAACTACCCAGGCCAGGACAATGTTTTACTTTATAAAAATCTGTATAGTTAGCAAAATCACAAAATGTGTCAGGTTCTTCAGGTTTTTCACTCTTCCCTCAACTTGCAATTTGCCTTTATCTCTCATGTGCCCACCTGCCACTGCTAGCATCTCTGCCCCAAGATTCTGCTCATTCCCAAGTCACCTCTGGCTGTCCAGAGCTTCATTCCTTGAGGAGGCCTTTCCCAATTTATCTCATATACTTATGGCCTAGGACACCACTAACTTCCTTTCTATATAGACACTGAGTTAATTAGTTCTGAAGAATTTGGCTTTTAACACCTAATTCAAAATACCAAAAAAAAGCCCTTTTAGATGGCTTGGCTCTCAACTTGGTGAAGGTATCTGGAGATAGGACAAGGTGCTCCTTCATTTACAGCACAATGGAAATGTGTACACACCACACATAATACCATGGGTGGTATCCCTTTAAAATCTCATTTGCTCTCTCCACTTTGACACTGTAAATCACTCCATTATTCCAATAGAAGTAGTAGGCTCAGAAATGGACATGAGCCAGTAGGTGAAATTTACATATAAACATTAAAATCTTAAAAATGCATTTGATATTAGGAAAAATTAGACTGTATTTCTCAGGTAAGATACCACTCACCAACAACAGAAAACTGTCAAGCCAAGTGTAGACTTCAAATGATTCAATGGTCCCCAGCCAAGGAGCCTGGTATTTGGTGTGCATAGCAGTGAACCCAATGTTGGTAACTGCAGGGTGTGACATTGCAAAAGGGACGCTGATCCACTGTAACCAAAGAGTGACATTAGAGTATTAGGCAATGATTTTTAACTGTTCGATATATGCAAGTCATTTATATGACATTTATATTTTTGTTTCTTTTATTCTTATAGACCATATATTTCAGTAATTCCTCTTGTTCAGACAGAGAAGAACCTGAAATCATGTTCTATGTGGAACATCATGAAATTGTGACTTAGAAAAAAAAGTTAAAGTAACTAACTGCCTTGGCCAGTGTGGTTCAGTTGGTTGGAGCATCATCTTGAACACCAAAAGGTTGCAGTCAAGGCACATGCCTAAGTTGGTTGCAGGTTTGATTTCCTGGTCAAAGCACATGCCTAGGTTGCCAGTTCAATCCCTGGTCTGGAAGCTTATGAGAGGCAACCAATTCTCTCTCTCACATCCATGTTTCTCTTCCTCTCTCCCTGACTCCTTTTCTATCTAAAAGGCAATGAAAATAATGTCCTCAAGTGAGGATTAAAAAAAGGTTAAAGTAACATATTTTTTACTTCTGTTTAATTATACCAATATCAACTATAGGAGAAGTCACTAGACCTTTGGGAAGAAAACATTAAATTTGAGAACATACATACTTATATAAACTTTTTGTGTTTTCTTTAAATTATAAAAAGTTATCCACTCATTAAAGTGAAAAGGAAAGATTTGATTGAGAAATGGTTGAATGAAACAAAGCTTCAAGGGTGAGTCCAGTACCCAATTGGTAGAAGAAAAAAGAAGGGACAGATAGTCTATGGAACAAGGCCAAGAGTAGAACATATGGTGTGTGTTTGTGTATGCATGCATACCTGCATGTGCACATCTGTTGGGTTAGAAGGTTTTCTTGGAGGGAAGTGGTTCTGTGAAGTAGGAGACATAAAGATAGATATGCGGAGAGAGCCTTGAATTGTAAGCTAAAAGATTTGTATCTTCTTTTGTTGGCAATTCAAAGCTAGAGGACTTTCCTCTAGGTTTTAAAAAATATTTAGAAGTAGAAATTTCTTTTTATTTTAATATCACAGAGGTGAACAGTCAGTTACAAAAAAGGGAGGAGTCAGGAAGAGTAGTCAGGTGGTACTGATATAATCCAGATAAAGTCCCGGGGCTGAGTAATTATATTAGAAATGAAAAGACACTGGTACAAAAAGCAAAAACCCATGAATACAGATTCAATAGTCTCTAGTTAGATCAGTAAGAAACAAGTAAGAAGAAAGAAAAAACTAACATGTGAACCTCAAGTTTACAGTTGTAGGATGATTATAAAAATCTACAGAATTATAGACTTTAAAGACAGAAGATGGTTTATTCCATAAGTTGATTAATTATAGATGAGGGGGAACCAAAAAACCCAGAATTTATTAATAAAAACTGTGTCTTTATTCTTACATGTTTAAACTTCAGTCACATTCAAAGCACTCCATATGATGCAATACAACTTTCAAGATGCTTTTTTCACTACTCAGAACAGTTTTTGAACTCGTTAATTTTGATTAACTTGCCTTGTAGTGCATCTGTGTTTTTTTATTTCACCTCTTCCACATAGGCACAATGTTTTCCTTTGATGACTGTTTTTCATTCAGGGAAACCAAAAACAGTCATTTGGGGCAAGATCAGGTGAATAGGGGGGCGGGACAGGAGTGTCATGCTGCTTCTGCACAAAAACAGCTGAACACTCAGTGTGGTATAGGCAGGTGCTGTCATAAATCACCCAACATGAAATAGGCAAGTGTACTTAAAGTCTTCAAAAGAAAATTCACTAAAGCTGAATACAGACTCTCACAACAACACCAGCTGGTACACTGATGCTGATGGGTTCCTAACACACTCACCAGCAGAGGAAGCATGTACTGCAAAGTTGCCCTCCACAAAACAATTCTTATTTTTTTAAGGGGGGAGGTTTCCCTCATATGTATATGTAAGATTTGAAGCTTAAAGAACAAATTGTATTTGGGCTTTTATTCTAATTTAATAGGGCCACAAATAGTGACAAACAGAACTTTATTCCTTCTCAGTTTAGCTACATTTTGCAGCAGAAAACTTCTCTAATACATATTCTTACATAATTTGCCCTGTCATGTTCATAATAGCACATTTAATCTATGCACTTGTGTGTTTTAAGTGCTGGTCTCATACAAAGCAATACATCATAAATAAATAGATTCAACCCCTGGAAGTGTGTTTCTTAGAATGCCAAATGCATTCCTTATGAGAGCTGTCATTGTCTAACTAATCTTACCTCTAATATTTTGAACAGGTCTTTATTTCTGGAAGTTTATGATGATGCTAAGAGAATTCAGAATTTCATTCAGCACTGTCCACTTTCTTTTGCATATTTAAAAATAAAAAAGTAAACCTCCTTGAGAAAGTTAAATATTTTTGGATTTGACTAAAATATAAGTGAGTAAAATTCAATCAAATGCAAAAAATGACTAAACTTAATTCTGACTGTAATTAGTTCTTTTGAATTTTCCTCCGTATATTAGACATGCTAGAAAGTAAAGAACAAACACAAATGAGTATGAAATTAATTCTTCATTTTTCCTTTTTAAGTATCTAGTGTAAACACTAAAAGTGCCCAAAGTTTTTCATGATATAAAAACAAGCAAACAAACAAACAAGGAGAAGCAACGCTGCTTTGATCACTTGATCCGTGATGTGTGGTTTTAGCTCGCTCTGTCCATGGCCCTTGCACAGAGATCATGTACATGTATGAACCCCTCACAGCTCCCAGCACAGAGTGTGCATTCTATTTTCTTTATACTCTCTTAGGTGTTGTGTTAGATGTTAGATATTATTATATGCATAATTACAATTGTCACATTTTAAGGTATTAATTTGCAAAAACTAAACATTGACTAAAATGTGTTCACAACACCCAAAAGTGCTTTTAGTTTAATACTAATAATTTCTTGTCTCATAATCGTACAGTACATTTTATTTAATAAAGCACAAATATATTACCTAATTTAACCTGGGGTGTATATGCAGTACATAATACTCTTTTTAGTGCCTCACATAATTAACCTTTTTCCTGTTTTTTAGATCCCAAATAGTAAATTAATATTGAATTAATATTGAAATAGACAGTATTTTCAAGGGGATAATTTCTATGACTTTTGAGCAATCATAGAGATTAATTGACACTAATATAAAAAGAGAATAAGGGCATAACACAGGTTAGCATCAAGGTTTAAATTTTAACATAGAGGAAAGGGTCTTGTCTTCAAACCTCAAGGAAGATTACACATTAAGTTTCCATCAGACGTAGACTTCAAAGAAAGAAAGACTTAGACTTTTCTGGGAATTAAACTGAGGAAACACTTTTCTGGCAAAATCTAACAAAACTAGAATTTTTCATTTAATCAATTTATTAAGAAATATAATATTTCATGATATACAACTTACTATATATTACTTGGAATGAAAAATAACACTTCTATTAGTTTTTGCTGAGTTAGTATAAAATGCCCCATTATCTTTTACATAAGAAGAAAGTAAAAGAAGGAAGGAACAGAGAGAGGAGGGAATAAGGAGGTAGGTGGGAAGGAGGGAGAGAAGGAGGAAGGAAAGAAGGACAAATAGAAAAAAGGGAGAAACGTAGAGAGGGAGAAAGAAAGAAAGGAAGAGAGGGAGAGAAGGAAGGAGGGAGAGAAAAAGGGAGAGGGAGAGAAAGTCTGTGAATGGCCTCACTTACCAGGCCTATGAAAATACAAAAGAGCTGAACAACATCCGTGTAAGCCACAGAATAGAGACCACCCACCAGGGTGTACAGAGTGGCGATGAGCGCAGAGACGATGACAGAAGCATGCACATTGATGTCAATGATCACACTGATGGTGGCTCCTAGAAGAATGCAAATAAGAAATTGCTATGGTCAAGGTACTCAAATGGACTCCATGTTTTAGGCAAAGACATATTGAAAGTTTAGTGACAGCATATATTTGTCCCAGTGTCATGTGAAATGTGACAGCTAAAGTTAGTTTTCATATTGAAAATTTTAAATTTCAGTAAATTGACTATGCATATACATGCATATATTTAAAAATTCTTCTAATTTAAAAATTAGTGCTTTGCTAACTTATTTATGTAAGGATACCTGCAATTTATGATATGATTTTAGAATTCCATGAAATACATGAAATTTAATTATAAAAGAACTTATATTAATTCTACCAACTATTGTAAACTCCAAGTTAAATATATGCAATATATTTACTCACATCTATGAGAAAACAACCCTTTATCATAAGCATAATAACCCATTTTTACATTTTACAATTAATATTCATCCTCTATTTTGCATAAATTCTGACTCCTGCTACCTCTTATTAGATGGAAAATGGTATAAGATACCAAGGTTTGAGAAAAATTTGTAGGAGAAAACAAAATAAAGTTGGTAAATTGCATCTATAATATTTTTCTCTCTCAACTCTGTTAAAGTTTTATTATTTTAATTTTATTTTATTATACTTTAATTTTATTGATGGAGCACTCCTATTTTGCTCATAGTACATCAATGTTGAAGAACCCTAAATTTCAACATCATAGTTTTAAGTAGTTTTCACCATCAAAATTTTAAACCCCCTTTCAAAATCAAATTTATGTTTTTCTTATTTTATGACTGTTTTGTGTTTGTGTCTGTATTTCCAATGAGGATATGATGGCATAGACAGTTGGACCACTGTGGTTCTGCCAGATCTGCATTTACTTATTGCTTTACAAACCTTTTCCCCATTGTTCTTGAAAGCTGTCATATTTATATTTCATATTATTAAACGCAGCAATGACAGCAATGTTAACACGAAAAGTCACACTGTGACTTTTTACTTGCAAATTTAGTTCTATTATCCCTCTTCAACTGCAGGCTAATAGTGTACGAAACCCACCAGAGATGAAATTCCATTAAAATACAAAATACTTTTCAAACAAATTTTTCTTAATGCTTTGGCTTTGGTAACAATATCACATTTTCTTTCTTGAGCGAAAAGCAAATTAATAAAAGGAAATGTCTGGTAAGGAACTCAAGGATGATGATGAGTTTATTATAAGTGACTATGGATAACTGAGTTGTTGTAGAGATATCGAACAAATTAGTTTTTCTAAACTTATTTACCTCATGTTGAAACTTTAGTTGGCCATTTTTCTTTTTGTCTAGTTCTTTAATGAAAACATTTTAAAGTTATATAGTTCATGACTTATAAACAGTGTAATTATTACCCTACCCCTTCTCAATACTGTCTATACATTAATAGTAATAAGATCCCTGGACTAGAGTACTAAAGATTTGGAATTCTAGTAGGTGCTGCCATTTGGTTTTAATTCAGTGGCTATAAAGAAGTCACCTATTTTTCTATCATTATCAAGTTTGGGATGAATATTTCTCTAAAATATTTTCCAAACAATTCCATCATTTGTAGTGAGTAAAATCAAAGTTATGCTTCTAGATTTGTTGTTAAATATTAGTTTGCTCAAATATAATATAAATATATTATAAATAAAGTTATAAAAATTCACTGAATTTGAGTTGTCAGAAATGTAAACACTATACATTTCTTTAAAAAGTTTTAAGATGCCCATTTATACCAAGAAGATAGTTTAAGATTCTCTTAAGTTTCAGTGATGAACTATTTACACTCAGGGTAAGGTGGTACTTGATCTTACATCTCTTTATTCTTAAGTATCCCAAGTTGTTTCTAATAAACATTAACTTTGAATTATATCCAACTATTATTTTTGAAAAAACACAGGTGTTAAAGGTAGACACACATTATCTTTATCAGATATGCATTTCAAGCAATAGCAGTAATGTTTTCATATATATTATTGATGTGTATGTATATGTAGAGAGAGATAAACATTAATATACATTACATAGACTGACATAATACACACTGAAGCAGACACACACAGAAGTAGACACACACATACAAAATAATTAACTACAGCAAAGTTTGGTGTTTAGTTATTATGTTTTATATTTCCAAAATACTTTAATATATTAGCTCATTGCCCTGGCTGGTATAGCTCAGAGGATTGAGCATGGGCCTGTGAAACAAAGGGTCACCAGTTTGATTCCCAGTCAGGGCACATGCCTGAGTTGCAGACCAGGTCCCCAGTAGGGGACAGATGAAAGGCAACCACACATTGATGTTTCTCCCCCACTCTTTCTCCTTCCCTTCCCCTCTAAAAATAAATAAGTAAAATATTAAAAAATAAAATATTAGTTCATTAATTCCATTTTCTCTAAAAGGCTCTGTTATTTAAATTGATCCTTATTCAGTGAGAATAAATATTTTGTATTCTGTAAGATATTCAGCCCACTCCTTTTGGATATCTTAGCAAGCAGCTTATCTTAAAACCAAAATTTTCCAGTGTTGAAAACAATGATAAATAAACTACAATTGCTTCTTAGCTAATGAGAGTCAGGTAACAAAGGAGGTATATTTTCACACATATTTTCATTAGAACATAAGTGCAGTGGTATTTGTGAAGTATTGTTATCTAGCACCATGCAAGTGCAGCATTTTTCACTGAGTTATTATAGTATTTTATAACTATAAAATTATCTTCTTTATTACATCAAGTCATTCCTCTATTTTGTAATTGGAGACCAAGAAAATAAGATAAACTTATACAGGACTTTGAGGGAGAAAGGAGTTAAAGGTAATATAAACTAATATATGATATTGTAGAGACCGAGTCTCATGATAATACTGAAAGCAGAAGACATATTTGTAGTTTACAACATGTAACATAGAAAGAAATTCATCATATCTTACTTTTGTTTTGACCACTGGATGTCCAGTTGTAGATTTAATCCCTTTATGTCCAATTGTAAGAAGATATAGAGAGAAACAAAGTGAATGTGTGGATGTCAAACATTGATAAAGCTTACTGAGGAAAGTCATGGAACTTCCAACTCTATCCAGCTTCCAGGAGGAACTCAACACTCAGTAGGATGACTTAGATTTCCCCTTGATCAAAAGGAAGGGCACTGACTCTGAAGATTTCCCATGATCCTGCTGAAATCTCTTGTTCCCTAAATCTTGTAAGTGGGCCAAGAACCCAAAGGCCAATAACAGGTTATCCCTAGCATTAATTGACCTTGGAAATGAGGTAGACCCTAAAGAGTCTAAGTTCATTTTCTAGATCTTAAACATGTCTATGACCCAGTACTTTGCCATGCAATGTGAACACATCAAGAAAGGATTTAACATTCTTTTTCATTTTCTCCTTCAAAGAAAACAACCATAGATGGTTTACTAATTCATTTGTGATAGGATTACAACTGGTAACAAGACACAAATCCTGCCTTCAAAAAATTTATAATATTTTTTGTGAGACTGAAAATTTGGCATGAAATAGAAACATAATCACACAAAGTGATAAGTCCTTTGAAAACAAAATTCTTTGTGCCCATAGGAAAGGCATTAGAAAGTTCAGGATGACTTCTCTCGAGAAAGTGACATCTATAAAAAGAGGACAGTTCTTGGTTAGCTAGGCAGATGTGAGAAAGAAGAGAGAACTGAGTCCAAGGCAGAGGGCTTGGAAAGTGTCAGAGGCAAAAGAGAAGGACTACAGTTATGAAAGAAGGAAGGAGGAGAGAGGAATGATAAAGAGAGGATCAGAGGCTAAGTCATGAGAAGCCTATGAGCCTGATTAAAAAGTTTGGTTTTAAAAAGGAAAGGGACATAATAAGGTTTGCATTTTAGAAGGACAAGTGTGATTACCACATGGATACTGTAGTAGTTATGCAGAACTGTAAGCAGGGAGGTGCATTAATCTTGGAGAAAGACGCTGGGGAGATTTGACCTGTGACCAATGGAAATGAAGTTTTGTATCTGATATTCAGTTAGCCAGAGATTCAGGAAGAGCAATGTTTTATTAGTTCTTACCTAAGGCTGAGAAGATGGCTGCTGCCCAGAACATTTCTCCCATTAGTGCAGGAATAAAGAGGAGGCCACCCATGCGTTTTCCATAGATCTGCTGAAATGGATCTAACATGGTCACATACCCCTTGGAACGCATAGGTTTTGCAAAAAACAGACCACCTAAAAGGAATAAAACAAGGGTTTATAAGAAAATAACAAATTCATAATGTAATATTCTTCATTATGCTGTAATTTCTCAAGGGAAATAAAATTTTAAGAACACTTACTTTATATATTGAAGAACCAGTCTGAAATAGTATCATGTGAATACAGAACCAAGAAGTGTTTAGCAATCAAAGGCATATTTCTTAATACATTTGTCATTGTATGCATCCAAAGAACAATTGAACGGTGTATCTGGGGCATGTATATTGAAAAACATGGACCAGCACAGCATTCACCAAAATGCCTTCATGCATCACCCAGCATAGCAAGTATTTAGATAGTTTGGGTAAGCACAGGATTTAATAAAAGTATTTTTAAGTACAAAAATAAGTTAGTAACACTCTATTATACATAATTCTTGACTTTTTATTAGTTTGATTTACAAAAACAAATTCAGGTACACTTTAAGGTGATTAATTTTTATGGATATATCCACACCTTTTTTTAAATAAAAAATCATAATGTTAAAAAATTACTGTTCTGACAGCCATAACATCAAGGAAGTTTTAATATATTCTGTTTTCAAGAGATCAAATATTCTAAGCACATGTTACCAAGTTCTGGTAGCAGCTACTTAAGATTTTTGGTAACATTTTTCTACAATAGTTATTTACATTGTTTGACTTTTTATTTCACTTTTTATATGTATTCCCATTCTTTGTGATTTACTGAGTCAGTCACTAAGATTTGAACTTTTGCTTACCTAAAATCAGACTAAGAGAATATCCAATTGGTGCCTGAGCCCAAGCTAGACCATAATCTGGTACATACACTGCTTCAGCTGTTCCGTTGATGTAACCTCCTCCGACCCAGGTCGCTGAAATAGAATGAAAACTGAGGGAAAGACACTCTCATACTGGTAATACCTTAGACCTGCTCATTCTAACACAGTGACTATTAGCCTCATGTGCCTATCTGAGTAACTGAAATGTGGATGGTCCAGATGAGCTGTTCTACAAGTGTAAATTACACACTGGGTTTCAAGGATGTAGTATGTTAAAAAACTTTTTAAAAACGACTTAGTTTGGAAAACTAAGTGTAAGATGACTCAATAATTTTTTGTATTGATTACATGGTGAAATGAAAACATTTGCAACATATTGAATTAAATACATTCTCTGATTTTCATCAATTCAACTATTCTTTGTGTTTTCTAAAGTAGCTTGTAGAAAATGTAATATTACATTTGTGGCTGTCATTATATTTCTTTTGGACAAGATTGCCCCAGATGTCTTCTAAATCTATTTAGTCATCAACACTTATCAACACTTTTAAATGGCATTATTACATCATAAAGTCTGAGATCATATGCAATATAGTATGTGACTTTATATTTTCAGTAAAACTACATCTTTGCCCCCAGCCTCCATAATATAGGTCAAATGTCTTTATTTTGAGGTTCTTCTGTTTTAATTGTACTGATTAATCACATTGATCATAACTATTGTTTTTAAAGTGTGTGTGTGCATGTGAGAACATGCATGCACAAGTGTAGTTGTGGGGGTGTGTACTTTTTATTAATAGAGTAACTTTAAATCATACCTAAGTTGTTTACTACTTTAAATTAAGAGAGTGAAGGAAGGGGAGAGATGACACTTATTCCGAGGTTAACTAAAGTGAGTTTAAATTACTTTTTTCTCACTCTCTTCCCAAGTACCCAGCATACACTTAGGACCTAGACTAGCATTCAGAAAAACATAACACGTTGAATGCATATCCACTTATAATTCTTTGTTCTAACCTGGCTCTTCTAGTAAGCTATTTAACATTTCATAGAGAATAATAAATGTTTTAGATGTTATTTAATAAAATTTCTGTAGTATAATAGCTGAAGGGCAGGTAAAGGAATCCCCCAAAACCCACATTTTGGTTAAATAGGTTTGAAGATGATATGCAAACTTTACCATTTTCCTTGATATTACAATATAATATTTGATTCTTGCTGAAGAACTAAAGTTAATGGAACACTTACATTTCTGCAGTTTATATATTTTAATAGTCAAAATATTTAAAATAATTCCTATGTAGAATTTGTGTAAAATCATAAGACATGTCAATTGGTAAGAAGCTTATCATATATGAATGAAACTAAATTCTAAGCTATGTCATCCAATTTGACTCTGAAAACTTTTCTACAATCTTGAAGAATGTAAGTAAAATTTCAAAATATATAAATACATAAAACTATAGAAAACAAGCTTTTCTGTTGTGTTCATGCCAAAAATCTGTTTAAAAAAATAAAAAGCAAAGAAGAGAAAAATATTTTGAAGTTAGTACTACTTTTAAAGGGTTAACATCAAAAGACCTCCCTGCAAAGGAATTTTAAGTATATTTAGATGCAAAGTTTCTGTACAAAATCCTAAAGTGGGCAAGTACATAATTAGGAGCCATTGTTATCTTCATAAGAGCTTCCGTGTGAGTGTTAACAAATAAATGCTATCATTTGTCTTTTTCATTCTAAGCCCTGCTGAAATTTTAATTTTTATTTTTATTTTTAATTGTTGACACTATTACAAATGTCCTCCATTCCCTCCCTTTGCTCCATCCACCCAGCTCCAGCTCCAGCTCCCATCCTGGCCTTCACCACATTGTACTCTGTGTCCATGGGCTATGTATATAAGCATACATGTTCTCTGGCTAATCTTTTCCCATCTCCCCTACCCCCTCCCCTCTGAGATCTGACAGTTTGTTCCATGTATCCATGTCTCTGGTTTTATTGTATCCATCAGTTTATTTTGTTCATTACCTTCCACATATCAGTGAGATCACATGGTATTTGTCTTGTTTTGACTGACTAAGCCCCTGCTGAAATTTTAAAGAGGGTTCCCTTACAGCAGCCTCACTGGGTGTGTAACTAAGACCTGAAGAAACAAATCCTCTCAGGTGCCAGACCTGAGACTTCATCTTCCATGTTTCTGCTAGCAACTGAAACTGCAATGTTTCACTGCATAAAAGTAAATGGTCTGATGGTCTTACAAGCACAAAGCTTATTAGTAATCCTTTTTTATCATGTAGGTCTCTTCTCCCTAGTCCAAAAAGAAAATTGATGCCTGAATGATCACAAATATTATAATATAGAGGTGGAGATTTAGGTACCTGTTATGGTTACAGTCCCTCCATTATCAAGTTAGTACCTTATAGAACAGAATTTGCGCTGCATGTTTGTATATTTAATGTCAGATTGCTAAATGAGAAAAAATGTCTATTAAACTATATTTTATTCTTTACCAAAAATATAAAATCAATGATCTGACAAGGGTTAGATAATATGGTTCAGATTTTAAATGAAATATAATATTGATCAAGATTATTTTCAGTTCTGAGAGATTAAAAAATTTTTAAACTGAGCTAGACCATGACTCATTATATAAAACATCATAATTCAATTTTTTCTATACAGTTTAACAGCCTGTAAGTGTAACAAACCTGTAAGAGAAAGCCAAATACCATACGATTTCACTTATATGTGGAATCTAATGAGCAAAATAAACTCCAAAGTAAAATAGAAACAGGTTCATAGATACAGAGAACAGACTGACAGATGTTGGGAAGGGTCTGGGGTTTGGGTGAAAAAAGTGAAGGGACTAAGGAAAAAAATGAAAAAATCCTCATAGACACAGATAAGAATATGGGGGTGGGGAAAGGTAGAAGAAGGTAAATGGGGGAATAAATGGTGATGAAAGGAGACCTTGACAAATCACCATGACACATAACTTTGTGTCATGAACACATGATACAATATACAGATGATGCATTATAGAATTGTACACTTGAAAGCTATATAATTTTATTACTAATGTCAATCCAATAAATTCAATAAAAATTTTAAAAAGAAGAGAAATAAATGGAATAGATTATTAAAAGCAGCCTATTATATTGAAAACATCACTCTAAGTGATAAAATAACAAATCTAAAATATATTGATGGACAAAATAGAATGTTAGAGTAATAAAGCATTATACTAATTTACAATGGACAAATTACTTTGATATATGACAGCTTATTTATTATCTTCAGTGTTTTTGAGTGAAATCAATGGGCTTTGTTTTCTCATTTTCTTTCTAATAGAAGAAACTTAAAGGAAATATAATTACAATGTTTTAATCTGCTTCAAATACCAGTATCAGATTTGAATCTTTAGGAAAAAAAGAAATACTATAATGAAAAATGAAAACAAAGACACAGAGTTGTGCTCACTGTCCATCAGTAGGCAGATACTAAGAGAAAAAAAAACATCTGAAAAGCCATGCTAAAATTTCAATGAATGAATTTTATTCTTTGTGTTTTTGTATTTATCTGATTTTGCATATTAGGCATCATAGAAAAGATTTTGCAAAATACAATCATTCCATTTGTGTGACTGGAAAAAAGGGTAAAGAGGGTAAAATATAGGGTAAAAAGGGGTAAAGAGGATTAAAAAAAGACCTCTTCACAACCCTGTACACTTAGAAAGAGATGAAGACAAACCAGCTAGAGGACTGAGTGTGCTAACGGGGTGGAGAGTTCCTGGGTGTGGCTCTCAGAAGTCCAGGGTTTGGCCCTGACTCTGGTCTTTGTTAACTATGAACTCTGTGCTCACAGCATTCAAATATAAAGATATTCAAATGAAACCATATACACTTGTCTAAGAGTTAACAAAAAATGTGAATATCTAAAAGAGAAATATATAGTCCACAAATTATTCTAGAACACTTTAGATTTCAGGTGGCCAAACAGGGATGTAGTCTTCACACATCGGTTTGGTAAGGTATTTCACACAGAGAGCAAATCATTTTCAAATAACACTTCAGGACTAATACTGAGCATCATTTGGATATGACTTATAACAGGATATTTTCCAATGAACACTCAGAGTTCCTTTCAGTATGGGTTATGTTGCTGATGTTTAAAAACCTATTAAGACCCTAAAGTGAAATATATTTTGTTAGTAAATATGTATTAAATAATATTACAAACATAATTTAAATTCTTTTTCAGAAATATTTTCAATGACTAAAAGATATAAATGAAAAATAATTCCTCTCTTAAACAGAACCACCTCTGGAAAAATGAAGATAGAAATATCAGCCCCTTTTGACACAGAGAAAGCTCAAATGGGAGAGAGCTGCAGATGGTGGCTGGGGATTACTTGATAAGGCATGCCATACATTTTTTTTCCTTTTATATTGAAGTTCCTGGAAATTTTACCTTTCAATGCTGTGAATTACTAACATGTGATTGTGTTCCTACAAGGAAATTAGTTCATGAAATAGGAGATTATGTTTCCAATCAGGGCATCAATCAATTTGGAATTGTGTTGCCCCCATATTGATCTATTGTTTAAAACCATCACTAATCTGTGTTCACTGATGCTCATCATTTAGTAAAAAGTCATAATTTCATTCCTATATTAATAAATGAGATGAGATGCTGACTTTATCACATTGATACAACACTTGTAAGACTAAGACCCTTTTGCATTTTCCTCCACCTCTTTGTTTTTACTAGTTCCACCCACTAAACAGCCCAGATAGCCCAGGTTTGTTTCATTAATATTCTATTCAATTAATTGTAAAATTGCTTTGTTCAGATACTATGGAGTTGAACTATTTAGTTTTTGTTTTAAATAAATGTAAAATATATATAATTATATATTATATATAATATATATGTAATGAACACAAAGAATCCTCAAAGGACAAAGAGTAACATTTGCTCTGTCATTCAGAGAAGTCAAAGAGGGAGGGCAGCATGGAGCTGAGCTCTGAACCTACCTGTCATAGTAAATCCACCCACCAGCAGACCAATGTCTCGACCACCAACTATTATGGCCTCACTGCGCTCTCCTGTGCTGCCACTGTTCTTGGTTCTCCAGGCAGCCCATATTCCCACCAGCAATATGAGAAGGTAGAACACGATGATAGCTATCAGTCCTTCCACATGGAAAGCCATTTTTATCTGGGGGTCTGGAATCTTCCACAGCTGGCTACTTCATTAAGATTTCTGAAGAAAATACAGTAATGCAATATAAACCAGCCAAGCACACATAGGTGGTGAGGAATACACCAGCTAGCTCATGAGAAATCATTTGCAACTTGAAAAAGTACATCAAAATCACATATTAAACTGGTAGTTACCAACAAGTGTCTATTATATTATTCTATCTAACGATATAGCATTGTTTTGAGCATTCAAAAAATTTAAATGCTTTGGAACAAATACAATCATAATAATTTTGTGTTTGATAAATTCTTTCAATATAAAATTAACTTTTTCTTGTATCTTAATTCAGCAATTCAATCAAGAAACTGGTTATAAAGAATATGTCTGTATTTGTTTTTTTGGAACTAACACTAAATCTAGAATTATTCAGTAAGGTAAGTATATCATAAAAGGCTACTCTGAGAATTCTAACAGATTCATTTATTCATTCATTTTTTATCTGTTCTTTCAAATAGTTTCAGGAAATGTTTCAAAAGTAAGCTGTAGTGAAAATATGTACAACATAGACACACAAAACAAGCAGACAAAACAAAAACTTTAGAAAAATCCATTCCAAAAACACATCAACTGCAATTTTCAACAAGTGCCTGTGATTCGAGTTTCTGTATCAACTAGAGATGTTATGTTTAACATCTTTATCAACCTTCTTCCCTATCCACTGTCCTTTGTTCCTCTCGGTTCTCCCCTACCCCCTCAATGGTATACACAAGAAAACGATTTAAAGATACACAAGTCCTTAAAAACATAACAGAGGGTCAAAGTATTAAAATCAAGACTCTTAGAAGATAGATGTCAAGTTTTAACGCCTTCACTTTTTCTTTATCCCCCCACCCTTCTTGAGATCTTGGCTATTTCATGTACCCAGTTCCATAAGCAGGTTTCTGGGGAAAACTAATATTTGTGCACGCAGGTGGTTATTGAGACCTTAGGAGAAAGAGCTAGCCTCCCTTGGATTCCGGGGTGAGCAAAAGAAGCCTCGGTGGGCTTGATGGGCTCTGCCTTTGTGAGAACCGAATGGAGAAGTTCTTTCTGGGCCTCGCCCTCCCTGGGGCTCCTCGGCCCCGCTATCCCCTGGGCTCCCCTGCCCATCTCTCCAGTGCTAGTAATTTCTCTCCTGTAACCACACTTTCCAGCCCCTAGCACCCGAGAACCCTAAGTGCCAGGGAGTGGATAGCCCGCGTGTCCCGATGAAGAGGCAAGAGAGCCGCTTCCCGTCAGCTCTGAAAATACCCCGTTTGGTGCCTACAGAGTCCGGGAGTGCAGTCTGACGCACCAGGGATTCCCCCATTCCGCTCCTACCTGGGGTGGTCGCAACACGGAGAAACAGTCAGCCAATTTGTCTGCTCCTCGGACCACCACCCCTGGGAACCGTGGTGGCTGGGGTCTGCAAAAGTGCAGTGGTGTGTGTGTGTGTGTGTGTGTGTGTGTGTGTGTGCGCGCGCGCGCGCGAGTGCGCAAGGGTGCTGGTGGGAAGGTGTGGGCGGGGGTGCAAAGGGGCGGGGGCAGGGCCAGGCTCTGGGGTAAATAACCCCGTGCAGCTCCTTACCTTGTTTCCCCAAGAACGTGGGTTCTGGTGGAGTTCATAGGTGTGGGCGCGGTCGGAGGGAGCCTGGAACTCAGCGAGGCTGTGATCGATCTCACTATTGACAAAAGTCCCCTTTATAAGGGCGGCGGGTGGGGGCGATCGTCAGAGCTCCGGAATGGACGTCAGAGGAAAGTGGTGCTGGGGCGCGTGCTGGGGACGCTGCCCTTGCGAGTAGAATGGGTGTGCAGGAACCGGGAACTGAGGAACTGGGGCCCAGCCTGGGCTCTGGGCCAGTGCCGCTGTGACTTCAAGGTCTCTGTCAGATGCAGCGAGTCCTGTCACTCCCACTTCCTTCCCCCAGGAAAAAGGGCGTGATTCCCTTAGGGTCATTTTCAATTCTAACTTCTGTGACTCACCAAGGAAGCAGTGAATGGGGGCACTGGGAGGGTCTCAGACAATTATGTTTTCAGGTGGAGCAAATGGAAGTCCTAAGGAGAGGAGGGGTCCAGTGTTCTTTTCACAGACTTTGTTGGAATAGTTTCTTGAGGAGCCTTTCACTGAGAGCGAAGAGGTATTCTTCCACTGCCTCTTATGGGCCGAGGGAAGGAACCTGGTTCTGGCTTCCCTAGTGATGAGTTACAGAGGTTACCAACCTTTTGGCATCTTTGAGTCACACTGGAAGATGATAGTTGTCCTGGGCCACACATTAAATACACAAACACTAACAAAAAAAGTTTTAAGCAAATTTACAATTTTTTGTTGTGCTCCATTCATAGCTGCCCTGGGCCTCATGTGGCCATGGGCCATGGGTTGGACACCCCTGACTAGGAGACATTTCAGGAACATTCAAAAGTCATTTCAAAAGTCCCCTTCTATTCTTAAATGGGATCAAATGAAGGACTCTAGGAGTTGTCCAAAACAAGTGAAGTTAGCACATAAGCCAGGGAAGACAGTTTTCCTTGTAGAGCAACTAAGTTGATCACTCACAGAAATACCTCATTCTAGTCTTACAAAGAATTTTCTATGTAAGTTTAAAATATCTATCTACACCTAGATACAGAAATTTATGTAATACCCAGATTATTTATATATTCATGGATATAGTTACATATCTACAGTACATATAGCTACAAATGTATTAAACATTACAGTGTTAAACTGAACTGGTAGAACAAGAAGCAGTGTTTTGTTTTTTTTTATAACTCTTGTCTACATCTTTCCTGGCAAAATTTCAGACCATGCCCCATTTTTTACACTGGATATGAAAATGAACCTTCAAATTTATATCACTACTCTTTTTCTTTGTTCTTGTAAGAACAATAGCTGTATCCACCCACCAAGTGTGAGATGAGGAAGCCTATAGTAGTTTGGAGAGAACAGCTGGGGAGAAAGTCCTGCATGGACAGCTATCTCTTTCTGTGTTTCTGGAAAAGGTTGAGATAGCCTGTCAACATAAAACCTTTTTTACAGGGAAGGGTTATGAATTAAAGCAATCTTAAGTATTGACCCTTGACTTTGGCCACAGGTTTAATTTACATCATACCTACCAGAATATAGTTAAGGTGATGATGATAAACAGCTAATGGCTTTAGCAGGACAGGTATGGGCAATGGCAGTGTATGAAATAGTGCAAAAGACTCAGGTCAAGAAACTAGACTCAAATCCAAAGAGGAACAAAAGAGGTGGCTGTCTTCAGAGAAATATCACCAAGGCTTTAGGTATAAGAATCAGGAATACAGCCAGGATACCAGTCTCTCTTTGGAGCCCACCTAATTCACTTTAAGAAGCCAGACTTGCCAGACTATATTCAGTGCCAGTTCTGGGAATGTGTATTGACCTTGAAGGTGGACTAAATTATTCTGACATGGCAGATTAGCTGTTTTCATGACAAAAAGCACCAATTGAAAATAACAACTGATAATGTACTGAGTCTACTTCTGTACAGACATTTCCTCATTTGCCAAGTCCTTTGAGCTCCTCTGTCTGATCTAAGGATGATGATACTGCATGTGAATTTCTGTTCCAGACTATCCTCCCAGACACCCATTCCTCTTTTGCCTTTAGTACGGCACCTCTTCCTCCAGTCTCCTGAGTATGTGTGATCATGGTTAGAGTTAGAGTATACAGATCAGTAGAAAATTATATAGACCCTGCTCTTAAGCAATTTATCTTTAGGGAAAGAAGGAATAAAAAACAAAAGCTCTACTTCAGTAGGCTATTATAAATGCCAGGAAAAATGTATCATATCACAGAAGTTAGAAAAAGCACAGACAAAAGGCCTTCATCAGACTAGAGACAGGGGACATTTTATTCATTCAACAAACACATGATGAGCATCCACTGTGTTCCAGAAATTGTGATATGTACTAGATATATACCCAAGTGACTGAAACAAAAAGAACCCTGTCCTCAATGAGCTGACAGTTTATAACCTTGCTACTAAAGTGTGGTCCATGGAGCAATAGCATCAGCATCATCTTGTCTGGTTTTTAAATAACACTGGTTATTTGAGAAGGACGTCATTTGGCATGTACATATTGAACACGACTTGGATATGAATGTAAATGAATAATGAGATTTGGGGGATCTATTTTCTTTAAGCCCTCATCTTTCATAATATCTCAGTTTCCTCATACAATTTTTACTTGAACGTTTCATAACTTTAATTGATTACATTTTGCTTCAATTGCAATTTTGGCCTGTCATTTCAAAACCAGAGTGATCATCAATATAAAGTGCTTTATAAATTGCAGAATTGAGGGCTTCATAGCAAGGTATCTGAGTCAGTAAATCTTGGAAAGGTTTTAAAAATCTTTCTTTTTAGTAGACTTATTTTTCAAGAGCAATTTTAGGTTCACAACAAACTTGAGCCAAATTTATTCTCGATATACTCAATTCACCCACACATGCATAGCCTCATTAACATCTATCATTAGCATCCCCCACCAGAGAGGAGAGGAGTGAACCTACACTGAAATATCAGCACCTAGAGCCCACAGTTCTCATTAGTGTTCATTTCTGGTGTACTTCCAACAGATTTTCACAAATGTATAATAACATGTATCCACCATTATGGTATCGTATAGACTAGTTTTACTGCCCTAAAAATCCTCTGTGCTTCATCAGTTCATCGCTCACTCACCACTGACCTGTAACAATCACTGCTCCTTTTACTGTCTTCACAGTTTTCCCTTTTCCAGAATGTCATATAGTTAGAATCAAATAGTAAGTAACCTTTTCTAATTAATCTTCTCTCAATTAGTAATAGCATTAAAGTCTCCTCCATGTCTTTTCATGGTTTGATAGCTCATTTTTTTCTTGCTGAATAATATTTCATTGTTTGGATGTACAAGTTTACTAAAGAACATTTTGGTTGCTTCCAAGTTTGGCCAGGTATGAATAAAGCAACATAAACATTTGTGTGCAGGTTTTTGTGTGGACATATGTTTTTGATTCCTTTGGGGAAAATATCAAAAACTGTGATTGTTTGATTGTGTGGTGAGAGTATATTTAGTTTTTTTGAGAAAGTGTCAACCTATCTTCCAAAGTGACTGCACCATTTTGCATTCTCACCAACAATGAAAAAGAGTCACTATTATTCAAGATCTTTAATGGTATTTAGTGTTGTCTGTGTTCTAAAGTTTGGCACTTCTAGTAGATGTGTAATGGCATTGCATTTTTATTTTAATTTGCATTTCCCAGTGGTATATCATCTTGAAGGAACATCTTTTCATATATTTATTCACCACCGGTTTACCTTCTTTGGTAAGGTGTCTTTTAAGGTCATCGGCCTATTTTTAAATCAGGTTGTTTGTCTCTTATTGTTAAGTTTTAAGACTTCTTTTTTATCTTTTGGATAAAAGTTCTTTATCAGATAACTATTTTGAAAGTATTTCCTCCCAGTCTGTGGCTTGTCTTTTCATGCTTTTGACAAGGTCTTCTGTAGAGCATAAATTTTTCATTTAATTTCAGCATATCAACTATTTCTTTTATGAATTGTGTCTTTTGAGTTATATCTAAAAAGTCATATTTTTACCTCAGGTCATCTATATTATCTATCCCCTATGTTATCATCTAGGAGTTGTGTAGGTTTTTTTTTTATACTTAAGTGATTCATTTTGTATTTAAAAAGGCTGGTGTCTAGATGTATTTTTGCATGTGTATATCCAGTTGTTCCAGCACATTTTTTTGAAAGACTGTCTTTTGTCAATTATATCGCCTTTACAACTTTTCCAAAGATCAGGAGACTACATTTATGTGGCTCTGTTTCCAGGCTGTTCTTTCACATTGATCTTTTTGCCTGTTTCACCAGTGCCACATTCTTCATTGCTGGAGCTATACATATAGCAAGGCTTGAAGTCAAGTAATATCAGTCCTCCAACTTTGTTTTTCTCTTTTAATATCATGTTAGCTATTATGGGTCTTCTGCTTTTCCACATAACCTTTAGAATCAGTTTTTCAATATTCACTAAATAACTTTCTGGGATTTTGATTGGAATTTCATTGAAGCTAAAGATCAAGTTGGGAAGAACTGATATTTTGACACTATTGAGTCATGCTAGCCTAGCCATGAACTTGGAATATCTATTTATTTAGTTTTTTAAATCTTTTTATCAGGGTTACATAGTTTCCCTCAGGTAGATCTTATACATATTTTGTTAGATTTATTCTTGTTTCATTTATTTGGGTGCGCGTGTAAAAGTTGATGTTTTCTTAACTTTTTCCCTTGTTTACTCAGAATTTTTTTAACTTTCCCCATTGATCCTGATTGTCAGCTCAGTTTGAGGAGCCCTGTTGTGTTTCAGAGTAGAAAAATTTTGAATTCTAAACAGACAACTCTAGTTTATATTTGCTAGTTATGGAATCTATTTTGTCTTCTTTTAGTTTTAATTTTCCTTTCTCTAAAGTGAAAATATGAAATGTGCAATGTTAGTGCTGATCTCATGGGAATGTGATGATATATTGAGATGGTAAATGTTAAAACACTAAGTACTCCATATATGATAAACAACTGATGTGGCAACAGCTCCTATAGTTGCTTTGATTCACTGTGGAAGGCTGCTGATTTTTCAGCCTCTGGTGGTGGTTAATTTCACAATTAGTGGTTGAGTCCCTGCCTATTGTTATCTAATTGTAAAGAAA